TCTCTGTAGCCCCCAGCCCTTTACATTTTGATGCCTCATATTCCCCTAAAGATCTAAGCTCACTGCCGCCTCATTCATTTATGCAATCTGTAAATCATTCAGTCAATAAACAGTTGTTGGTGTAGGCACTGTTCTTAACACAGGGCATAGAGCATGAACAGAATAAGCTACTGCTTATTGGAGCTCACAGTCTAATGGGGGCAAGCGTGCACAAGTGAATGTGTATGAGTGAGTGTGTGCAAGTGTGTATATGTGTGCACGTGTGTACAGTCTTGTGTTAGATCACCGTAGACACAGTGCAGCCAGCTAATGCATGGTAGAGATTAAAAGCAGTGATGGTTGAGATAGGGTGGTCAAGAAGACGTCTCTGAGGAGGTGACACTTGAGTATCTGAGTATGACAAATGAAGCTATGTGGGATCGAGAAAGCCCTTCCCAAGCCACCCTGCCCCAGCCAGTTCAGATGCCCCCCTTACAAGTTCTCCGTGACACCACAGGCCTCCCTTCCAGAACTTACCACAATTCTGATCCATGTGTGCTGGTGTAACCCTTTGATGAAGGTCTGTGTCTCCCCCCAGCCAAACACTCCGTGAGAGACTCTGTTTATATTCTATCCCCAGACACAGGCTGGGACATAGTAAATGCTCAATATTCTTTGTCAAATGACAAACAAATGGATAAACAAACATGGGCAATTTCCCCAAGAGAATGACCAGCAGGCTCTGACACGCTCTGTGGCCTGGGAGGTCAACCAAAATGGCTACATCAATTTATTTACAAAGTGTGTCTGCCCAACCTCTCCCATCACCAGCACCACACTCCTCCTGCCCCTTTCAGGAACTGCCCTGACCCATGCTGTTGATGAGGAACTTGGGGGGTCCAAGGCAGCCATGTTTGATTGGAGGGAGGTGGGAGCAGATATCACCAGAGAATGCATGTGAACCACAGGGGACCGTGGGCAAGATCTACCACAGAAGTCAGATTGTGGGCCTGAGGGCCTCTCTTTCTGAGGCTGTGGGGAGCTCAGATTGGTTTAACCCCACAGCATTTCAGGGCCACTTCCGGGCTCACCCCCCCCCCCCCCCACACACACAGCTATATTGCATCTTCTGAGGCTTCTGCTCTCCACTCTTCGGTTCAAGGTGGGATAACGCTTAATTCTTGAGCCCTGTCTGATCAAGTCTCCTTGATTTCTGTCAATCTGGCTTTCCACAGCAGCTCAGTAGAAACCCTGCCCTTCAGTCAAGGGCATCCCCTTGCTGGCCAGTACCCTTTCTGTGACTTTCCTGATAACTACCCTTGTGCATTAAATGACAGCCTTTAGCAATCCTCTGCCAGGGTCTAAAGGTGTCTTTCAAGAGAACCTCTGCCATGAAGTTCTCTGTAACACCTTGATCTGAGTGCACTCTCGGCTTGTGTGGAACTCCTCTTGTGTGTGGACTGAAATGCTCAATGAAGCAGTAAATGCCCAGCAATGTCTGATCCATGTTTGTTCTATCTTCCCCCCATTAGGTTGCCAATTACCTAAGGGCAGAAAGTGTGTCTTATATTATTTTGCTTGGTATACAGCAGTTGCTTACTAAGGACTTGATAGACTGATTGAAGGAAAACATCACTCTTGACCATCAGCAATGTTTATGTAGACTTGCTATCCATTCTTCATCCTTACAGGGTTGAAGTACTGTGTTTTTCCACCTGGTAATTTTGTATAATCAGAAAGTCTTTCCAAAATAAGAAGCTGTCCGACAAGACAGAATCTCTTTCACAAAACTAGAAGGTGGCAACTGTAATAAAGAAATTGGGAAATGACACCTAAGGCAGAGTTCACAATGGATATTGGGCAGTTAGAATCAAGCTTAAAAGGAAATTAGGCTGGGTTACTAAGAAGGACGAGAACACCTTGTGATACCGTGTGTGGCAGGCTGAATTATGGTCTCCCCACGATGTCTGCATCCCAATCCCCAGAACCTGTGAATGTTACCTTATGTGGCAAAAGGGATTTTGCAGATTTGATTCAGTTGAGGTTTCTGAGATGGGGAGATGATCCTGGGTCATCCAGGTGGGACTGACATAATCACAAAGGTCCATCCATATAAGGGGCAAGGAGGAGATCAGAGTGAGTAGGTGCAGACAGGAGGACAGAAGCAAAAGGCTGGGGTGATGTAAGGTGGGGCTCACAAGCCAGGTATGCAGCCAGTCTCTGGAAGCTGGAAAAGGCCAGGGGATGGATGCTTCCCTCAAAGCCTCCAGAAGAAATCAATCCTGCCCACACCTTGACTTATCCCAGTCAGACTGATTTTAGTTCTGACCTCTAGCCTATAAGAGAATAAATTTATGTTGTTTTAAGCCCCTAAAGTTGTGGGAATTGTTACAGCCCCAGGAAGAAACCAATTCACCATGAAAAGACCATCAGTGATGAGAGGAATGTAGTCTCCTCTGGGCTCTGTCTGAGAGTGGGCCCAGAAAGTTCTGTCCTGGAAGCCATGTTCTCAGTTGCAGGGCTACCACCAAAGGGCTGGAGATATGCCACTCCAACTAAACTCCCCATTGATCTTCCTTTGCGAAGAAGACACATTGTGGTGGGAGCTGGAAAGCAAGGTCTAAAGAACAAGCCCGATGCCAGGAACTCACATCCTCTTTTTGGACATTCTGTCTAAAGATAGGTATATTTCCATAAATCAAAACCAAGACAATCCGGGGAAGCTACCACAGTGCCTCAAGGAGCAGCTGATTGAATAAGTGGTCACTTCACAGGTGAAAAGAATCAATCAAATGAGCTGATTTTACTGAACTGACTTTTATTGTCTCAAATTTTATTTATCTCAAGACCCCATCTCAGGATTCCCTAGACAAAGCCCAGATCCCAGGGTTTATCACCAATGTCAAATACCTAAAATCATCCCAAAGACAAGCCAGACTTCTGTTTCTGAATCGTGGAATTTCTTAGGCAGTTTGTGTATAGTCTCATTAAAGACAAAAATATACAAAACGTGAAGCAAAAGAGAAAAGCACAGCTTCATGTCCCAGAAGCAATAAATGCTAAAAAAAAAAAAATCAAGATTCCAAACATCCTCTCTGTCCTGTTTATTTTCTTCTTATCTGTAAAGCAAAATGTACACAGAGTCTTCACCACATAATGTCAGGGTCGAATCTATGATAGACTGTAGTTTGATAAGAGGCAGGGTAAAGAGGCCTTCATCCTAAAATGATCCTCAGCAGTGAATTTTCACTTGTGATGCTTCAAAACAAGGCCACAATTGGGGAAAAGAAAGGTCTGTGGCGATGTTAACTTGCTGTGCTTTAATGCAATTTATAAAACAAATCTCCCAAACATTTATTTTTCAGTCCGGCTTCTGGCTAGAGTGGGTTTAGGATAAGCAACAAAATGAAAGAAATCTCCCAAACATCGACATTGGCACTCAAAAAGAAAATAATAATAAAGACAAATATTAAAACATTTCCAGTAAATTTTCATCTGAAATGTGTTGATACAAGATTTCTAAGAATGCCACATAATTATTAGCGTATTTTTTTTTCTTCTCGTAGGAGTTATAAATACTTAGAATCAGATAGTTGGGTTCACATAGATAAAAAGTTCTTTATTAAAAAACTCAGCAATAAGAATATCATTACGTGAGCCTGGAAGGAGAGCTCTGTTCTGTTCTCAGACTCGCCTTAGCCTGGAGCATTCTGGGCTTAATTTGGATTATTGGTTTGTCCTCGTCTGTCTCCCTCCCTTATCCCCAAGAGCACGCTTGCATTCATGAGCATGCACCAACGGATGACTTCTTTCTTTATAAGAGAATACCAGAAGAAATAGTAAGAATGAACAAAATGCAATGTATTCTCCGAACCAGTGGCTCTCAAACTCGAGCAGGCAGAAATGCAAAAAGTATGCGAGAAATGCAATTTAAAAGGTAATTCTGGGGGCGCCTGGGTGGCTCAGTCGTGAAGCGTCTGCCTTCGGCTCAGGTCATGATTCCAGGGTCCTGGGATCGAGTCCCGCATTGGGCTCCCTGCTCCTTGGGAGCCTGCTTCTCCCTCTCCCACTCCCCCTGCTTGTGCTCCCCTCTCTCGCTGTGCCTTTCTCTGTCAAATAAATAAAATCTTTAAAAAAAAAAAAGGTAATTCTGATTCAGATAGTTACTAAACTCACAAATCCTTCTAGTCCAAAAGAACATAAGGATGCTGATTTTCTTTTTATTTGGGGGAGAGGAGAGGCACAGCCTGCCATAAACTGGTTGCAGGGGTGTCTGTACAGTAATTTGAAGAAAAGCACCGCTCATCTCCCGCTGTCCCCAGCTGACCACCTGTGGGAAGTGAAGCTGGGTTTGGGGGCTGGGAGAGATAGTGAGGTCCCAAGGCAGAGCCCTGACACACTCCTTCCCAATGCCAGGGCATTGGCCCCATCTCCAGCGTCATCCAGCAGAGGTTTCTAGAACAGCGTGAGAGTGCTAGTGCAGAAGGAGCTGCTTCCTGAACTGCATTCTGCACAAAGGAAGGCAACCTCTGTTTGTAACCAGAGTGTTTCTGAGCCCCATAGAGACAACTGCCTTTCTGACAACTTTGGCCCAGAGATCCAAGTGGGGGGGTGGGGGTCCTCATTTCCTGTGCTGAGCACAATGTTAGCAGCCACTTGGACAGATGCACAGAGAACTGAAACAGGCCCCAGGGGAGGCCAGGTTAGTGAGCCCAGACACTCCCACTCAAGGCCTTCCATTTCTTCTGCTGGAAGACCAGCCAGGCCGTACCTACCTGCTAACCTGCTGTGCCAGGCGAGCCAGGCTCCAGAGTCTCCTCAGGCAGGTGCTCTGGGAGGCCGCAGGTGTGTTTGGCACTAACTGGGCACCGGGGGCAGCGCTGATGGGCTCATGGGCTTGACTGGGTTCCAATTTCCATTTTTAACCCTTCCAAACACCATGTGCTGCGCTGAAAGCCGCCACGTTCTCAGGGACCCAGGCTGAGTCAGGCTGACTGGCCCGGAGGGAGTCAAGGCACTGTTCACTCCCAGAGTTTCTCTCGAAGCAGCCACTGCCCTTTGGGGTTCTCGGTCTCATGGAAGTCCTCCCCCGGAGACGCCAGGGGGTCCAGCACAAAGAGCTCTGCATCCCATTCCATGTCTTCTCCTGAGAAGTTGAAGAGGATCTGTCTGGGGCTCCCCAGGCTGGAAGGGAGGAATGAGGCAGAGGGTTTAAGTGCGGCTTGGCTGACTGCACAGAGAAGGGATGCTCTGATTCACTCTTCCCGTGGAGACCCTCAGATGCTCCCCGATGCTGGGCCTTGCAGAGGCCAAAGCAGTGTCATCATGGGGGCTGGCCCCTGGGCTGGCCTTGAGCGGGAAGGATGGACTATGAGGGCTGGAGCCTGGTTTCAGTGTGTCCAGTAGGTAGTCCATTATTATGGGAGGAAAAATGCTATTTAGAAAAGCTCCAAACCCATCAGAGTTGAATGGCTCTTGTACAAAGAAAAACAAGTGGCTGAGCCCAGATAAACCCTTCTTTTGTGAAAGGGGAGGTCCCTACAGCATGACCTGGGTTGCCCAGAGCAAGAGAGTACTTACTGCCCTGAATAAGTAGGCCACAGGAACTTGGGGGCTAATGATGGTAACTCGTCTTGGCAGAGTTGGAGCTGGAGGGAGAAAGGCCAAAAAATGGTAGCAAGGTGGCCAGGAGGGGCCCAGCCGACAAGAAGTTCTCCATCTAAGTCAGGCCAATGCCTTTCCAAGGCAGGGGCAGCTGCTTAGTTTGGTGTTGGTTCCCTCTTGGTGCTATGCCCTCCTCAACCCAAACGCTCATTAAAAATTCCTAGCACACAGGTTGTCAGTGGCAAGGTGAGGGGGGGTGGGGAAGCAATGAAGGAGGGGGGCACAAAGCACGTGGGCTACAAAGGCCAGAAGGAAGGGCAGGGCAGATCCAGAGCCAAAGTGACAGTGAGGAGTGGTGACAGGGGTGAACCAGGCTGGAGTATAAGCATAGACTTATACTCCACTTATACTTTTTTTTCCAAAAGAAAAAACATTTTTAACAAAGATCTCCCTCCCCCCAAAATACATAAAAATAATTTTTGGTATATAGGATGGGGACTCGAGGCACCTTAAGAACCACCCCAGGTGTCTGGAGGACACAAAAACATCTTGGTTGTACGACTTGGTCCAAGCACTTACTCTTTTTTGCAGGCTTTGGGCTTAAATTTCAAGGTGCTGAATGCCCCTTCCACAGCCTTGGGCAAGTAAATGGGGTGCCTCTCGAGTCTCCTCTGAGTGCCAATGGTCCTGCACTCCATGGTCCTTCGAGACTGGCCATGTGTCCCGTGCACAGCACGCGCAGCGATGTCCTCCGAGTGCCGGCGTGGCACCCGCAGGATCCAGTTGGAGTGCAAGCTGTGCTCCCGGGAGCTGGTGGCCACTGGAAGAGAGAAGCAGGAGTCCCAGGAAGGGAGGACTCGGCGTCAGGGAGGAGCAGGAGAGGTAGTGTGGTGACTCGGGCTGAGAACCACAACAAATGCATAGATACCACAGCGGGTTCTTAGAAAGGATGGGAAAGGCAAGCAGGGGGCACGATCTGATCTGACCCTGCAGTTATGGTTAGGGACACAGCAGAATATTGATGTGTTCATTAAAAATAAGGACACAGATCTATGTGTACTGACTGGCAAAGATACCCATGGTGTACTGCATATTGTGAAGCGAAAAGAGCAGATGACAAAATAGCAAAGAGATCCTATTTTTCTCATCCTCGGTGGATTTTGCTGTTCTTTTGCCCATGTCCTGGGTCCCTCAGGCCCGACTGTCGAGAAGAGGTTTGGCCTCTGTTAGGGACCGAGGGGCTGCAGTCAGGGAGGAGGGCGAGCAGATGCCCCTCCAGGAAACAGTGAGCCTGGGGCGTGGGAGTATCCTTCTGTCAAATTCCACCAAACCCAATGAGAACCTAAATTTCACAGATATAGGTGTTTTGAGGCCAGACCAGCTACAAACCACAAGGATGTACTCTTCAACCTTTTGAGCATTAAGTAAAACACTCAAGAATTATTTAGTATTGGTACCAAAAGCTGATCCCTCAGTAACAAGGGCCAGTAATCCCTGAATAAAATCATCATCAGTGATGCCAAGAAGGACAAGTCAAAGATGAAAGAAACTGATAGTCAAGTAATGGAATTTAAAAGTGGGCTGAATTCAGGAAGTGGTCAAATTGCTTGCTTTCCACCAGGAGAGAGCCAGTGACACAGGCTGGCGGAGAAAAGCATCAGCCCAGCCCTCAGCTTGCTCGCTCTCCAGGGACCCAGGCTGGCCTAGGCAGGCCCCCTGCTCCTCTCCTGCCTTGTGCATCATCCTCAGAGCACTGATCATGAGGGCCTCAAAGGGCCCTGTGGGCAGAGGGGGGACAAAGTAGATGAAGGGTCGCTCAGGTCCAGCAGAGAGTGCCAAACTAGCTCAGGGAGCGTCAGAAGCCAGATTTTTAAATTCGGTCTCTGCTCCTTTTTCTTCTTTAAAAAAAAAAAAATGTGGTAAAATACACATAACATAAAATTTACCATCTGAGTCATCTTTTAGTGCACAGTTAAGGAGTGCAGAATATGTCCCCACTGGTGAGTGACAGGTCTCCAGGACTTCATCTTGAAAGACTGAAACTCTGTCTTCACAGCCATATAGCACCAGCCCCCCCTCTAATCCCTTTCTTTAGTGCTTTGCCTCAGCTTTGGCCAGTGGACCACAGGAAGGAGTTTTTGTCCAGATATGGCCGTGAATGTTGTCGGGTGGTGGCTGCAGGGACACCCAAAGCCAAGGGCCCCCGAGGAGAAGAGCAGGCCCTGGGTGGGGCTCCGGAGTGTGGATGTGAGTTTCCCTTTACTCTGAGGTGGGGTTCCTGATAACTCATCAGACAGCCCACTCCAGAGACCGCCACCCACCCAGCCCCTGCCCCCTGGGGGGGGGGAGCACTCACCATCAAAGTCCACGTCCTCATTTGGAGGCTCTGCCTCAGCAGCCTGGGGCCGCTTCTCTGTATCCAGTTCCGCAATGATGGAATCAAAGAAGGCCATGGCCTCGGCCACATCTGCGCTGAACTGGGAGCATTTCTTTGGGGTTGCTTTCTGCTAGAGGTGAAGGGCAGGAGAGAGAGTTGCCTGAGCCAGCCTCAGAGCACCCACACACAAGCAAGCCACCACCGCCAAAAAGAATGCAGCACTGCTGAAACTAAATGCATGTGAAGTTATGAATTTGCAGAGTTTAAAAAGTAAATTTAAATAAGTGGGGAAGGAGGGTGGATGCTCCGGACCCACAATTGCTGTAGGTCAATGGATTTCTAATTGTCTCAAGGAGAGACAAATAAATAATAAGATCTATGTTCTTATTCAAGAGACTGTTTTGACCTTTAGGTAAAATACTTAGTCTTCCTTTGGACTTTTTCCCTGCTGGTAAACACCCAATTAGGTGATCCTGCAGCTCCGTTGATAGGCAATGAGGGGCTCACAGCAGGAAAGAAAGGACAAGATAGACTAGAAATGCTCTGAAAGAGCTGTCAGGACCTAAAGTGGCCAAACTTGAGCTCAAGTCATGGTATAAATTGAAGAGAAATTAGTATGATTGAAAAGTATAAGGCATAATAAAATATGGAGTTAAAAAAAAAAAAAAAGTCTACTGAGTGCCTAACCAGGTTCCAGGCTCTGTCCTGATCTATTCTTCTTCATGATCTCATTCCTCACCACCATCTTCACAACCTCCCACCAGTGGTCTCGGGGGGCTGAAGGGGAAGTTCAAGCACCGTGGTGGACCTCCATGGAGAACTCACAATGAAAGGTACAGAATCAATGTGTGTTGAAGAAGGCACAAAGAAATGGAAAAGCATTCCATGCTCATGGATTGGAAGAAAAAATATTGTGATAATGTCTATGCTACCTAGAGCAATCTACACATTTAATGCAATCCCTATCAAAATACCATCAACTTTTTTTGAAGAAATGGAACAAATAATCCTAAAATTTGTATGGAACCAGAAAAGACACCAAATAGCCAGAGGAATGTTGAAAAAGAAAAGCAAAGCTGGTGGCATCACAATTCTGGACTTCAAGCTCTATTATGAAGCTGTAATCATCAAGACAGTATGGTACTGGCACAAAAACAGACACATAGATCAATGGAACAGAATAGAGAGCCCAGAAATGGACCCTCAACTCTATGGTCAACTAACCTTCAACAAAGCAGGAAAGAATGTCCAATGAAAAAAGGACAATCTCTTCAACAAAAGGTGTTGGGAAAATTGGACAGCCACATGCAGAAGAATGATACTGGACCATTTTCTTACGCCACATGCAAAAAGTAGACTCAAAATGGATGAAAGACCTAAACGTGCGACAGGAATCCATCAAAATCCTTGAGGAGAACACAGGCAGCAACCTCTTCGACCTCAGCCGCAGCAACTTCTTCCTAGAAACATTGCCAAAGACAAGGGAAGCAAGGGCAAAAATGAACCATTGGGACTTCATCAAGATAAAAAGCTTTTGCACAGCAAAAGAAATAGTCAACAAAACCAAAAGACAACCGACAGAATGGGAGAAGATATTTGCAAATGACATATCAGATAAAGGGCGAGTATCCAAAATCTGTAAAGAACTTATTAAACTCAACACCCAAAGAACAAATAATCCATTCAAGAAATGGGCAGAAGACATGAACAGACATTTCTTCAAAGAAGACATCCAAATGGCCAACAGACATATGAAAAAGTGCTCAACATCACTCAGCATCAGGGAAATACAAATCAAAACCTCAATGAGATACTACCTCACACCAGCCAGAATGGCTAAAATTAACAAGTCAGGAAACGACATATGTTGGCGGGGATGTGGAGAAAGGGGAACCCTCCTACACTGTTGGTGGGAATGCAAGCTGGTGCAGCCACTCTGGAAAACGGTATGGAGGTTCCTCAAAAAGTTGAAAATAGAGCTACCCTACGACCCAGCAATTGCACTATTGGGTATTTACCCCAAAGATACAAATGTAGTCATCCGAAGGGGCACCTGCACCCCAATGTTTATAGCAGCAATGTCCACAATAGCCAAACTATGGAAAGAGCCTAGATGTCCATCAACAGATGAATGGATAAAGAAGATGTGGGCGCCTGGGTGGCTCAGTTGGTTGAGTGACTGCCTTCGGCTCAGGTCATGATCCTGGAGTCTCAGGATCGAGTCCCGCATCGGGCTTCCTGCTCAGCAGGGAGTCTGCTTCTCCTTCTGACCCTCCCCCCTCTCATGTGCTCTCTCTTTCTCATTCTCTCTCTCAAATAAATCAATAAAATCTTAAAAAAAAAAGATGTGGTATATATATACAATGAAATATTATGCAGCCATCAAAAAAATGAAATCTTGCCATTTGCAACAATGTGGATGGAACTAGAGGGGATTATGCTAAGTGAAATAAGTCAATCAGAAAAAGGCAATTGTCATATGATCTCACTGATATGTGGAATTTGAGAAACAAGGCAGAGGATCATAGGGGAAGGGAGGGAAAAATGAAACAAGACAAAACCAGAGAGGGAGACAAACCATAAGAGACTTTTAATCTCAGGAAACAAACTGAGGGTTGCTGGAGTGGAGGGGGTGGGAGGGATGGGGTGGCTGGGTGATGGACATTGGGGAGGGTATGTGCTACGGTGAGCACTGTGAATTGTGTAAGACTGATGAATCACAGACCTGTACCCCTGAAACAAATAATATGTTATATGTTAATAAAAAGGAAAAAAAGAATCAATGTGTGAACCCAAAAAAAAGCTGTCTGAGGAATTTAGTAAATAAGAGAACTCAGGGAGGAAAAGAAGTGACAATATGCGTTAACTTGGGCTCTTCTGACCCTGTGTAGAATTATTTTATTTTATGTGAGCATTTTTATTTTATTTTTGTTTTAATTGTGTATAGTTGACACACCATATTACATTAGTTTCAGGTGTACAATGTAGTGATTTGACAAGTTTATACATTATGCTGCATTCACCCCAGTATACCTTCCAGCTGTCCCATTACATCGCTATTTCTGTATCATTGACTGTATTCCTTACGCTGTGCTTTTTATTCCCATGACTTATTCATTCCATAATTGGAAGCCTGTATCTCCCACTCTCCTTCACCCATTTTGTCCATCTCCCCATTTCTCCCCTCTAGCAACCATCAGTTTGTTCTCCACATTTATAGGTCTATTTCTGCTTTCTGTTTATTCATTTGTTTTTGTTTCTTTTTTAGATTCCACTTAGGAGTGGAATCATACGGTATTTGTCTTTCTCAGTTGGACTTATTCCACTTAGCATAATACCTTCTAAGTCCATCATGTTGTATCAAATGATACAATCTAGTCTTTTTTATGGCTGTGTAATATTCATGTGTGTGTGTGTGTGTGTGGTATGTGCGCATGCATGTGCATGCACATCTTCCTTATCCATTTGTCTATTGATGGATACTTGGATTGCTTCCATAATTTGGTTATTGTCAATAATGCTGCAATAAACATCAGGGTGCATATATCTTTCCAAATTAGTGTTTTGTGTTCATCAGGTAAATACCCAGTTTTGGAATTATTGGGTCATATAGTACCTCTATTTTTAATTTTTTGAGGAACCTCCATACTGTTTTCCACAGTGGCTGCATTAATTTGCATTCCCACCAACAATGCACAAGAGTTTCTTTTTCTTTACATCATGGCCAACACTTGCTGTTTCTTGTCTTTTTGATTCTAGCCATTCTGACAGGTGTGAGGTGATATCTCATTGTGGTTTTGATTTGCATTTCCCTAATGATGAGTGATGTTGAGCATCTTTTCATGTGTCTGTTGGCCATCAGTATATCTTCTTTGGATTGATTGGGTTTTTTGGTATTGAGTTGTATAAGTTCTTTAGACATTTTGGATATTAACCCTTTATCAGATATATCATTTGCAAATATCTTCTCCCATTCAGTAGGTTGCCTTTTCATTTTGTTGATGGTTTCCTTTGCTGTGCAAAAGCTTTTTATTTTGATGGCGTCCCAATAGTTTATTTTTACTTTTATTTCCTCTGCCTCAGGAGACATATCTAGAAAAATGCTGCTACAGCTGATGTCAAAGAAATTACTGCCTGTGCTTTCTTCTAGGATTTTTATGGTTTCAGATCTCACATTTAGGTCTTAAATCCATTTTGAGTTCATTTTTGTGTGTAGTGTTAAAAAGTGGTCCGGTTTCATTCTTTTGCGTGTGTGCATCCAGTTTTCCCAGCGCCATTTATCCAAGAGACTGTCTCTTCCCCATTGTGTATTCTTGCCTCCTTTGTCTTAGACTAATTGACCTTACAACCATGGGTTTATTTCTGGAGACTCTATTCTGTTCCACTGACCTGTGAGTCTGTTTTAGTGCCATATGTGGGCATTTTTAAAGGGAGATGGTATTAAAAGTGAATATTAAAGTACAGGCTGGGATGTTGGGAAATAAAATGATGACATCTGTATGTACATACAAGATCTTGGTGAAATGTACGCATTTCATACTACTAGAAGACATTTTTAAATGGAGAGGGTTTTTTTTCCTTTTATATTTGTAAGGCACTTTCTTACAGAAAATTTTTAAGAAGCACAACATAAGCCTGAATCTTTTGTGTTAAAAGTGGAATACTATCCATATGTACTTATCCCTCCCCCTTCAAAGAGCCCACTAAAATGAAGCCAGGAGGGCAGAGAGAAGAAAACCTAAGGACAAAGAGAGAAAGAGAGAGGCCATCAGTAAAAGAGATATTTCCAGAAGCTTCTGGCAGTTGAAAAGCAAATGAAGTGGGGGAGATGTGAAAGAGCAGAGGGACCAGCCTTCTAGAACATTATGGGTTAGGGAGGCAACTAAAAGGGGTAAAATTTGACCCTCGAGAACCCGAAATGCACCAGACTTGGCAACACCGGGTACACCAAGGGTTGGGAGTGGGGAGCAGGACTGCAACGGGATGGGTTGGTTGGCAGTCTGTAGGAGCACAGCAGGCCAGGCCACCAGGCATCCTTCCTGCAGGCAGACGATAGGAGGGCCCACCTCTGAAGGCAGGTCACAATTCTTGTCCCTCCTGTGGTTTTTCTTAGTGGCACCTCTGTCTTGA